GACCAGACAACTCACAGCCAAGAGAAACGGGGGGGGTGGGGGGGGGAGAAGAAATAGGCTCTAGCAGCACCTATGGGAGAAACTTGTTTACAGTACTTGCTTAGCAGACTTGGTGGCCTGGCCAGCTTGCTTGAAGATGTGGGTCCTCATGGCTGGAACACAGGGGATCCCCCAGGTGAGAGATTAAGCAGCTGCAGCTTCAGTCAGCATGGGAGAAGCATGGAATCTTCACTGAGTCGATTCCTCACAGCACCGGACAAACAGGGTGGGAAGCTCAGTTGTGTTCTGTAGCAGACTGGGGTGGCCCGGTTCTTGAAGTCCGTGGGTGTCTGTGCTCCACGTGGGCACCAAATGTGAGGAAAAAATAGAGGGCCGCAGCTGTGGTGGAGTCCCCGGGGGTTTCCACGCTGCGGCGAGTCCCACATGCAGGAGAGGTCTAAGGTTCCCGAGGCCTGGAAGGTTTGGCGGCAGGCCCCAATGACACGAGGCAGTCCTTGGTTCCAAAAGGGTTTATTGTCATGGCGGATGATACATGAATCTGGAAGTACACCCCTAAAACTCAGGCCAGTCCCAAGTTATATAGGGAGGGAGAAAGGGGGAGGATCTGGGGAAGCATGCTTAATTTGCTCCGCCCTCTGGCCTTCATTAGTATGTAAATCCCTACGGCCTGAGGCCTCTAGTCACGCCCTTTATCTGTGCACTTTGGGAGGGGCTGTCTGGCCTACGTGACTGAACAATGTAATTCTATGGAGACTAGACTGCTTTTCAGAACCCTGGGTTCTGGGGGCATGCCAAACTCCTGCCGGTTCTCACGCAGAGTTTCGGGGTTCTAGGCACCTGCCAAGCCATGAACCAGAATACCCTTACGAAGTCCCACACTGAGAGTAGGATGAGTTATTCCCAGTGACATACTTCTCCATTAACACACACATACACACACACACACACACACACACACACACACACCACAAACAGTGCCTGCAATGGGAACCAAGCCTTTGCGTCCATGAGCCTGTAAAGAGCATTTCTCTTTCAAACCACCAGAACGTTCTTGTGTTATTCAACTTATCTTCTAGGAGTGTTCACATTCTCTTTTGTCGGTTGGGCAAAGACTCACTAGAAACTGAAAACCAGCAGGAGAGCTAGGTGTCTCTTATCAGAGATATTAAGTCCTTTGATGCACGAGGAGTTGTCAGTCACTGAACATGTGTATACTAAGTAAAGAATAATTTAGAGATTTGCAGATTCGAGGTGATGGAATCTATCTTTCCAGAAATGTTTAATAGATTTTTAAGAAAAAGGGAGACCCAGACATGGTGACAAATGCTTATAGTCCCAGTCCCAGGGAGACTGAGCCAAGAGGATATGGCCAGCCTGGGCTGTGTAGTGAGATCATGTCTACTCTGTGTCTAGCACCCATAAAAAAGTAGAGGTGAGCCCTGCTGGAAACTTTGAGCTGAAATCTTAGATGCTGATTTTAGACCGTGTGAGACTCAGTACTGCATAACTGCATTTCTGAATGTGTGGGGAGTTTAGTGTCATCAGAAGGCATCAAGCACAATGTCACATGTGCAGTGTTGCTCACTTGATGATGGCCTACATTAAAAGTTCAAAGTAATCTCTTGAGTTTCATTGAGCAATAAGAGGAAAGCTTTAATATTTCTGTTTTGTGTAAAATGAGAAATTTTTTTCTTTTAAAGAAGTTCATTTATTAGTAACAACTTGAGTGACAGCTCAGGCAGCAAGGAGGACACTGCAGTCTCAAATAGTTTACTGTTCTAAAGGCCTTGGACCTTGACACTTGCTTTGACATTCATTTGGACTAGCCCTGCATGGTGGCAGTGACAGTGACGATCGTGCATCAGCAATCCCTTAGCAGGTGTCTGTCCTCCCTCTTCTCTAGGCAAACATGCAGAAGACATATTTGGTGAGTTATTTAATGAGGCTAACAACTTCTACATCAGAGCAAATTCCCTTCAAGACAGAATCGATCGGCTTGCTGTCAAAGTCACCCAGCTGGACTCCACGGTGGAGGAGGGTAGGTAATTGCATGAAAGTAGAGAGCTGCATGCAATGCAGGCTCGACAGTGGTAATTAACTCCAGTGGAGTCTCTTCTTTTCCCCTTCAGTAGCACACTGCCATTTATTTCGTCTCTTCTTGGAAGAATGGAAAGGGAACACCCCATAGCACTCGGTTAATTAGTGATAAAAAAAAGACTCAGTCTCTATTGTATGTCATGCTCTTGTTTTAAAAAGTTGCAGATATTACAATAAATAAGCTGAGGACCCTCATTTTAATCCAGTTCTTAAGTTTCATTTACGGATTAAAAAAATAAACTTTGAATAGCTACTTGGTCTTTTTGGTTAAGGAATTCTTGGTATCTTTTAAAGAAGATTTATTTTTTTATTTTTTAGTCACGTCTCTCTGGGTGGGTGTGCGTGGGTGTGTGGATGCAGGTATTGGTGGAGCCCAGAAAAGCATATCAAATACCTTGGAGCAAGAGTCACAGCCAGTTGTTAGCCACCAGGTGTGGACACTAGGAACTAAACTCAGGCCCCCTGCAAAATCATTCAGTGCTCTTATCACCTGTGCCAACTCTCAGGGCCATTTATCTTACTATTCACTTTGTAAATGTATATCACAGCTGAGTTTTAGATAATCTTTCTTGTGTATTTTTGTTAGCTCTTAGAATTGGATGCTTATGATAAGATCTACCCTGGACAAGATGAGTAGGTTAAGTTATATGTGGTTTCAGGGACTATGTCATGTCTTAAAACCTCTTTACCAGGCAAGATTCTATTGTATTGTTTCCATTGGTGCATATATTAGCATTGCAGAGACCTTTTCCTCAAAGCTAAGGAGTCTGGGTCCCTTCTCTGGGTTGTCACACAGCATATGTGAGCGAGGTTTGATGGTCCAGTGGGCAGGGCAAACTGGAGAACAGCTTGGACACCTAGAGGAGTTATCAAGGTTGGGTGAGTTAAATACAATGTAAAAGTTGTGAAAACTGAAGAAAGCTCACCCTCCTCTGCTCAGCTGGGTGCTCACTTAGCTCAACTTCGTTTCCTGGATCAAGGTGCTTATTTTGTGGATCAGAGTTCGAATCGAGGCCTCTCTGCCCCCCGGGGGGGGCATCTGAAAGAGAGAACTGGGGGACAAGAGACACGAAGAATGGATAGCAAGTCAAGCTGTCAAATTTTAATTGTTCCTACACAGGTGATATACACATAGAAACAGGACATGAGATAGGGGGGTGACGTAGGGTCTCTTTGTCTCTGGGGAGCACAGGTGTTCTCAAGAACAGAATGTTGTCTGGGTGAAAAGTTCAGCAGAAGGAACAGAAGAGGTTGCTAGGTACCTGTCCATAAGATCTATAGTTATTTGTTCTTAACTAGGCTAGTGCTTTCCCACAGAGGCTACCTGTTTACAAGATCTATAGCTGTTTGTTCTCAACTGGGTTAGTACTTTCCCACAGAGGCCAAGACTTTGTACCAATAAGCATGTATGGCTGACAAAGCAGTTAATGTTTAGGCAAGGTCACTCCCAACACCTCTCTTTCTGCATCATTGTGATGGGTGCTTAGTAGGGTGCTCATATTTGCATTCTTTTTTTGTTCAGGCATCTTACTGCACCTGGCACTAATGGTTTTTCCTAAGATATCCAGATCTGTGTGCATGCCTGCTACTTAGGGGCTGTATAGATCTATGTGCTTGCCTGCTATCCTTGGGCTGTATTCTGTGTGGTGTCTGAGAGGTGCTGTTTAAATAGCAACAAAATGATGCCCTGGTCCAGTGAAGTAATTCTCTTGTTACAAAAGAAGACAAAGCTGTGATTTGACTTCATGTCATAGAGAAAATGTATCTTTTAGAGGGAGGAAGGGCATTCTGTTTAAGCAGGATTTTAAAGGAACAACAGAAGCCATTATTGCAGGGGCTAGAGAGATGATTTGGTGGTTAAGAGAACTGGCTGCTCTTGCAAAAGATCCATGTTTAGTTCCCAGTACCCACATCCAATTGGCTTACAATTGCTTGAGTCCCAGGAGATCCAATGCCCTCTTATGGCCTCTGCCAGCATTGTGCATGTATACACACTCATGTACATACCCAAAAATAAATCTCTGTTTGAAAAAGCCAATATTGAGTCATTCTGGGAGATATTTATAATTCTGAGTCAAAAGATGCTTCTTTCTAAACAGAGAATATCTTGTATGTAACCCAGGGGGCTTGTCTCTCAATAGTCTCACTACAGGATATCAACATGAAGAAAGCATTCAAAAGCTCTACCATCCAAGATCAGCAGGTGGTTTCCAAGAACAGCATTCCCAACCCTGTTGCTGACATTTACAACCAGAGTGATAAACCTCCGCCGCTGAGCATTCTGACACCATACAGGTACTCCTCCATGCCTCTCTTCCTGCTTCCCCATGGCCTTTCCAGCAGAGATAGAGGAATGCTTCCAGAGGCTAAAATGTGCTGGTGTGCTGGGTGGTACCACCTTGGAGGGCTCCTTTGGGTTGAAAAAGAACACTCTGAAAACAGTAACTGCCATATCCTACCCAGTGAAATGTTAGATGTAGAATTGCTGGTGTTTGTAACAGGAGACGTGTGAGTTTTGATTTTCGCACTCAGATGTGGCTGTCTTCAGTGGGAATGATACTTCACAGCAGCATACCAGGTGTGGGTGCTCTGTTCGTTATGTTCCAGTTAGCTGAAAAGCAGCGATATGGTTCATTTATAACATGGTAAAATCCTCATCCTAGCCCTCAGCAGCACACAAACATCACTGTTCTGTTGTTGCTATGATGGTTGGATATGTCAGGGACTGATTCCCAGAGAAAAGACAAAAAACCAACAGGGAGGGCAGCATTCATAGGGAGGGGCCACCTGCACGCACTCTCATGAAGCTTCACACATCTTTCCCAAGACTGTGGTGTCTTATAACTATCATCAGCATCTTTGGGTCTCTTTCTTGTTCTTACTGTTTCCTTGTCTTCCATGGTGAGCCTTGCCCCTCTGTCCATATTTCCTCCCCTCTGTGGATCTCACTTCACCAACATCTGCTGGGCACTGTGGTTATAGCCGAACCCTCTCACAAGTGTGTGATGGTCTTGGAGACCTGCATGTCCTTTGTATGTGGCTGCCATCCTGATGTCCTCCTCAGGAGGGTCCAGGCTCTTCATTTGATTTGTAGTCTTTTCCAAAGATGCACAGAAGAGATTTAGAGCCAACCTCCATGAGAGGACGGTTGGGACTGTCACATTCTCTTTCTTCTGGACAAAGAGATTCTCTCAGACAAATAAGTGGGCATGCACACATAATCAAAATCACATGGAAACGGATGGGAGCTGGGCAGCCTTAGCTCCTATGGGACAAGTAGGCTTTCCTAGAATTTAGAATGTACATATTTAAAACTGTGATGTTCGTGAATAGAAACCTCTCTCCTGACCACCTTCTTTTTCCACTAATTTGGTTTTTTGTTCCTTTGTTTGGGCCGTAAACTTTCTCCTGTCTATGCATATTTAACTGGCTTGCCTCTTCTGCATGCATATATAACTTAGTGGAATACTGCTATAAAGAAAAGCTCTTTTCATTTAATTTGGACGCAGTGTTTACATTACATCATGACTGAAAAAATTTAATTTCTTCCATTTATTTTCTGAGAGCAATGGAAAACATTTTTAAAAGGTTCCATTTTTATATTTGACTATATGTCTTTCTGTATATAGTACACATGAATATAATACACCCAGAGGCTAGAGTTACAGGCAGCTGTGGGCCAGCTGATGTGAGTGCTGAGAACTGAACTCAGGTCCTCTGAAGGATAAGTAGGAGTTCTTAACAGCTGAGCCATCTCTCCAGCCCTTCAAGCATCACTGCTGTTTCCTGTTAACAGCCCTGAGTTCATAATGGCTGTGTTATTACTTGTTAAATGTTAAGGGAGCAATTTATATAATGATTTGAAATATTATTTAGACTATAGTAATCATAGCAGTACTTGAAACTGACATGGCCATGGGAGATAAAGTTTCTTGAGAAAATACATTGTGTTTCTGTCACGTCTACACCCACAACCATTTTGCTTTCTGAAACCAAATGGTATTGTGTAAACTTGAATTGGCAGAGGGGACAGAGTATTTACTAGTTTTTGATCATTACTGTAGTGAAGTTCCCAGTAGAGGTAGTGTGCTCTGAGCATCCTGGGCCTCTACTTGTAGCTTCCTGTTAGAATAAACCAAATAGTTCCTTAAATGCAAAAGCTATTGAAGTTGGGTATTTGTGAGTGGGGAATTTTCACATAGGATTTACACCTACTGAGTTCTGTTTTCAAGACTGTAGAGTTATTTGCTTTTGCGCATGTTTCTATGTTTTTCCAAATAAGGAAGTTCACTGTATAATACATAAGGTGGTTAGCATGCCCCATGTGAGTGTTAGGATCCAAAGGGTTAAAGTTAATGTCATCTCCCAATGAAGGCCGCTGACTATCCTTCTTCCCTGGCTTTGAATGCTTTGGTCCACAGAGATGACAAGAAGGATGGGCTGAAGTTCTACACAGATCCTTCTTACTTCTTTGACCTCTGGAAAGAAAAGATGCTGCAGGACACAGAAGACAAGCGGAAAGAGAAACGACGTCAGAAGGTGTGTGATGATGTCAGCGGGAGACACCCATCAGTGTGCACACAGGCCCTTTGCTCACATATTTGGGGCATTATGTCTAGTGTTCAGATTTTCTCAGGGTGTCCTCCTTTCGCATGACAAACTTGACACTTTAACCCAGCAATGATGTTTTAAGTAGATCCGACAAGATTTGTTCTCCAGCACTTGTATGCCTCTAACAAAGGAAGTGGTGAATGCTGAAGTTCAGTTTCTGACTGTGTTTCATGACTCTTGCCCCTTTGTTCCCTCAGAGCTTCCTACAGTCAGTGCTCCTGTCAGACATCAGCGTGATTTTTCTTGTTTACATTCATCCGTTAGGTATGATGTCACTGTGACTGAGAACTTACTGAGGTGCTCTTGGGAGACTGGGAAGCGAGTGATCTGTACTTTCAGAGATCTTTACTAGGGGTGAGCCCCCGCTTAGAGGAGGTTGGAGGTAGAGGTGAACAAGAAGGATGTCAGTCAGGACTTTTAGAAATAGCTGCCCTATATATCATCTTGGAAGGATAAACTGACTTGTTCGGGTTAAGCGACTTCCACTTTGAAAATTTCCCCTTTAGGGCTGAGAATTTAGATGTATGTACTCCACTGAGAGGAGTAATTCTCCTACTGATCTTTTTATACATACATTGTGTTCAAAAATCAACCACCCAGACCATGCTTTTACTCCTAATATGGGGAAGCAGAAGCAGGCTGGTCTCTGTGAGTCCAAGACCAGCCTGGTCTACATAATGGATTCTGGGCCAACCAAGGCTACATAGTGAGACCCTGTCTCAAAAGAGAAAGCACTAACCACAAACCAGAATAACAAAAACAGACCATAATAGCAAAATACCAACAAAACAACCACCCAGCTTGGCTTGACAAGAACTAGCCTATACTGGAAGAAATACTTAGCACTCAGTGTGGTGGTCTTGATGTTGGGAGCATTTAGTTGGTTTGAAGTGAAGATAAATAAGAACTCAAGGTTTGAAAATACGACCAAAGGATGGGCCAAGGGTAGCTCAGCTCAGAGCACCTGATTGTATGAGCAGGTCTTGGCTTCACTTCTCAGCACAGACAAAAGAAGAAAGAGAAGGGATAGAGAGGAGGAGGGCACCTGGATTCAGGGAGAGGGTTTTTAAGAGGTGTGTTAGATGACACTCTGCATGCACTCACACTGGGGAAGGATTTAGCTGGGGACCTGGGAAGAACTGCCAACTTTTACAAAGAATTCAAGTAAAGAAGTCATGGAAGAAAAAATTACGTTGAAAGCCTCTGTCATTGTAAAGGACAAATCCAGAACTTTCAGGAGGGCTCTCCATGGACACTTCCTGTCCTTCCGAAAGGCTTTCCCTTCTCGTATCTATTTCAGGAGAGCGTTTTCCTTCTCAAAAATTGATTGATTGATTGTGTGTGTAGACATTTTGTCTGCATGTATGTTGTGTACTACTTGAGTGTCTTGGTGCCTGCCTGCAGAGGCCAGAAGAGGGCATCAGATCCCCTGGAGCTGGAGTTACAGATGGTTGTGAGCCACAATGTAGGTGCTGGGAACTGAACCCAGGTCCTCTGGAAGAGCAGCCAGTGTTCTAACCACTGAGCAATCTCTCCAGTCCTGGCCTATAACCTGTTGAAAGAAAATTGTTTTTGCTATTGTTGCTGGTATGTAATTATTGTACTCACACTGGCTTCATAAGGATATTTGTGTGTGTGTAAAAGAATCTGTTTAATAAAAAGAGAAAAATAAGGAATCTGTTTAGTAAAAAGGGAAAAATAAAATCTAGAATTCTTAAATGAGGGACTACATATGATTTTTGGGATGTAGTTCACTTAATATCAGGATATCCAGTTGATCCATTTCCCTCACTCTCTGTAGCTCAATTCAGTTTGTTGTGTACGAATCCAATGTTGTCTTTTTCCTGTCCTCTATTGACAGTCACCAGTTAGCTGTCATGAGCAACAAGGCAGTAAAGCTTGGGGAGGAGCTGTCTCTGTGACAAGATGACCTAGAGTCTTATGGACAAATCCCGGCAGTGACAGAGCTGATTTGGCTTTGATCTCGGAGGACCTCTGTATTACTTTCCTAGATGCGGGATTAATTTATATGTGTGCCCAGCAGTGATTATGGTCCCCTTTTCTCTGTATCCTCATAGACAGTGGTTTTCTTAATGAGCACTGTTCTAAGTTGAAATGGACTCTGAGTATAGCTTCCATCCTAGGAAGGTACTTGCAAGGCTCCTTCCTTTATAGTCTGTGAATTCGCATCTCCTGAAGGTTCATGCATTGGAGCATTTCTCCACATGTCATGTGGTGCCTTAGGCCCCGATGGGCATATGTTGTGTCATCTCCCATCCCCAGATGCAACCAACTTGATCACAGGTGAATGACCCTTTTGATATGCTCTTGAGTTCCACTTGTAAGCCTTGTGCTGAGAAAGTTTGTGTCTCTGATAAGACAATTGGCCTATGATTAGCTTTTCTGTTACTGTTTTTTCTCTCTCCTGTTTTGGATCTGGGTGATGCTGGCTCTGTGTGAAGCATTTGGTGCTATTTCTTCCTTGCTAGTCTACAAACTAGTGTGAGAAACATCTGTGTTAGCTCTGTAACTGTCTCCCAACAGGCACCTGGAGCTTTCAAGAGACTTTTGCCTTTATTATTATTATTATTATTATTATTTCAGTTTTGCTTTTTTATAGAGGTTTAAGTAGCTTGTATCTTCCTTGCTTAATTTCAGTAGGTCATAGATACCTAGAAATGCATCCATTTCTTTCTTTTTTTTTTTAAAGATTTATTTATTTATTATATATGAATACACTGTAGCTGTCTTCAGACACACCAGAAGAGGGCATCAGATCTCATTACAGATGGTTGTTAGCCACCATGTGGTTGCTGGGATTTGAACTCAGGACCTCTGGAAGTGCAGTCAGTGCTCTTAACCACTGAGCCATCTCTCCAGCCCTCCATTTCTTTCAAATTACCAACTTACTGTAAAGCAGATCTTAACAGCCCCCAGTGAGCTTCTGGCCTGTATTGTTGGCTGCGGCTGTACCTCCCCTCTCATCTCTCATTCTATTAGTGTGCATCTTCTTTTGGATGCTTTGGATTGTTTTGACTGTCAATCTTATTTATTACTTCAAATAACCAATCCTTTCATTGATTTTTTTTTTTTTTTTACAATTTCATTTCTTTCTCCCATGACATCTCTTACTTCTCTTCCCCTGCTGATTTGGGGTTTTCTTATTCTTATTTGTCCAAAGTTCTAAGGGACATGGTTACCTTTTTGCTTGAAATCTGTCATTTTTAAGATATGTGCACTGCTTTCATTACAACATGGTTCCCTTCTGTCTGTGTTTTTCACCACGAATGTGTTCCTCCTTCTGCTATAACTGATAGTTTTGCTGGATGTACTGACATACATCAGCAGAATGAGGATATATATGAAATAAGGGTTGGTAGGGAGAGGCGACAAGTATGATGGATAGCCTTCAAGATTTGAAGGGCTTTTCTTGGAAGAGGTACAGAAGGTAGGATGTTGTGTTGCATAGTCCGGGGATTCTATTGCAAGCCCCTGTCACTGAGATAAGATTTATTACCTTTAATATTTCAAGATACTGCGTATGTCTCCACCTAATATGCATTTTACTGCATAGAACTAAAGGCTGAACTGTTGTGAGCACATAGCATACCTATCCCCTGATTATGTCAATGCGTGCCTCCTGAACAGGAAGAGTGATAGTTGTTACGTGCCTTTAACAGTGTGGCTCTTAATTAGGATGTAGCATGGCTCCCCATTGAAACTTCTCTTCCCTTTTCTTTTGGGTTTTAAAAGTACACAAATAATATATCCTGGCTGTAATGCAACCAAATGGCTTTGACTGTTATGAGGGCACACCCTCTCTGTGAAGACCCAGCATCACTTAGCAGTCTTATGAACATCTTCTCCGGTCTTTAGGCCATGTACTAAGGTATGCATACACATGTGCTGAAGCATTTTCACACACAGAAATTTTTAAGAATGTGGGATTTTTTTCTTAAAAGCATACAGTATTCTGAAATACAAATGCTCCATAAACTACTTGCCCTTTGCCATGTTTAGGAATGGCTGTTGATTATAAATTGACTTCTGAAGTCCCAGAGTTCATTTCCTATAACATTAGAGGTGGTTCTTTAGTTTACATTTCTAGAAGGTGAATTGCTGTTAACGAGGAGAAGGCAAGGCAAGATTTGGATAGTCCAGTCATTCGGCCCTTGCCCCTTTAAAGGCTGAAGACTCAGTTTATACCGCCAGAGGGTTTTGGCAGATATTGTTGACTTGCTGAGTGCCATCTCATCTGCATCTCGTCTTTTCTCATCCTCTGGAGCCATTCCTAGGTTCTGTGCGCATTTTGTGTCCTTATTCTTAAAGTGCTCCAGAGGCTCTAAGCACCTCTGAAAATAATTCAGTGCAGCCACCACTTTCTCACTGCCTTAAGTGCAGGCGAGGTGACATTTGAGATATGTATATACATATACACACACATATTTACATATATGAAACACATACAATAATCATGTTTAATATAAAGCTGGGTATAAGCCATATCACACTTTAAAATATAGATATATTTGTATTTTACCACATTCTATAGAGACTTGTTTGTGCTTACTGTCTGACTTCTCCTTTCAGGAAACAAACTCCATAAGAATAGAAACTCTGTGTGTTTGTGTGTGTGTGTGTGTGTGTGTGCACGAGTGTGAGCATGAGTGTGCATGCATGCATGTGTTGTGTGTATGTTGGCCATTTACATCATCAGTATCTGAGTGCTGGGCATGTGTCCCTGGGACATGCTTGTGCTTGAGGTGTGGTGTGTGGCTTTGATCCCTCAGCCAGCATTTACTGAGTGTATGTATACTTCTTGTAAAGGTAAAAGAGTAGGTGAGACCCATAAGGGAGAGTAGGAGGGAAAGGCACACAACCTTTGTCATGGAAGATCATAAGTGCTTGTGCAAGAAAAGGGACAAATGTGTAGATGCCCATAGAGGGCCTCCCCTTGGAAGAGAGGCTTGCATCTGACCACCTTGAGGATGGAATATGCCTTGGCTGACAGACAGGACTGGTCTAAGAATGGCTTTGTGTCTAAACAGGTAAGTTTATCTATGTGTGCACGGACATGCACACATGTATATGTATGCATATATAGGTGCTTCAAAGGTTGTCAATGAGGGAAATGATTTTTATGAATGGTGTTACCAGATATTTCACATGAGCAGTGCAGATCTAGGCACAGAGATATTAAACAGGCTATAACCCCAGCAAGTGAGAGTCCTGTTCTGAAGGTGAAGGTAAGCAGCTATGGAGGGAACCTGTTGTTTCTTTATGGACCTACTTTATTTCTGATGGACCTGGTGAGCCCAAGGCATGTGCTGTTAGAATTTCCCATAGTTGGGTGTAATAGAATGTGAACAGCTCTTGAGTGTGTGCCAGGCTTGTTTTCTGTGCATTGTAACTGCCTCTAACCTGCTGTTTTCCTTTCCCTTCTGTCTTGGCATGCTTGCTCTCTTTTCTTGGACATCAGGAGCAAAAGCGTGTAGATGGCACCACCAGAGAGGTGAAAAAGGTTAGAAAAGCCAGAAACAGGCGCCAGGAATGGAATATGATGGCGTATGACAAAGAGCTTAGGCCCGACAACAGGTTGTCTCAGAGTGTGCACCATGGAGCATCCTCCGAGGGATCTCTGTCCCCAGATACTAGGTGTGTGTGTGTCATGGACCTCTCTCTCGTCCCTGTATTTTGGGTTTCTTTGTGCCTATTGTATCCTTAACATTGACATCTGTATTTTGCTTTTAAAATAATGCTTTAAGGCATACGATTTGAATGTGGGTTACTTTGCACACCTTTAAAGCTTTCTTGGGTTTTCTCTTGGGTTAATCTGGAAGGTGGAGTGTTACTGTGGATTCTGAACTTGGGTGACTGTCAATGACTCTGGTTTTGCTTAGTCATCACTTACTGCTTTAATGTGAAATGTTGAATTTCCTTTGTTCTTTGTCAGTAGTGACCCAGGAAGACCATTTGAAGAAGGCACAGACAAAAGAGGGCTTGCTCTCTCTTTCTAAACCTCTCCTCTTACATGCTCTCATTTTAGGACCTCCTGCTGAGTTTTCTTGAAAAAGTTGACAGCAGTTAACTAAAAATGTTTCTTACAGGTACCAACAGAGAGGTCATGAGGACACATTTCTCACACAGAGACACTCACTTGAAGACCAACTGGCCTGTTTTAACTTTTGGTTTAATTTCTTGCTTCTGTTTTATCGAATCATGTTCCACTTGTGTGGACTTCTGGGCTTCTGCATTTGCAAGTTAGAATTCAGGCTGGGAACATAGCTCAGTTGGGAGAGTGGTTTCCTGGCATGTGTGAAGCCCTGGGGTGAACCCTGGTTCATAAACCAGGCATGCTGGCACAAGCCTGCAACCTAACACCCAGAGGTGGAGGGAGGATGATCAGAAATTCAGGGTCATTCTGTACTATATATCTGAGGCCATCCTGGGATACATGAGACTTTTTAAAATAACAGCAAACAAATGTACAAACTAACTAAAACTTAAGGAATTTATCCAAGAAAATGTCAAAAATAATATGAAATTGGGTATGTACCTCATATTTGATTTTTTTACCTTTTGTTTTTTCTTCTTTTCACCATTTTTACCAAGTTTAGAACAGTCTCTACCAATCCACAAGAATAGGTGGGTGTCTACTAGGGGACAAGTTTAGGGGTTACAGGACTTCTGATACTGCTTCCTACCCAGGCCTATGAGGTCTGAAAGGTGTGCCCCAGGTAATCTTTCTATACACCAGTAGCCTGAAGTATTAAGAGAACTCTGGAAGCTCTGAGCTCGAGCCTCGTTCTTGAACTTTAGTACCAGGTTATTGATACTACAGTTCTGCTGCCGTGGTGAAGGGCATGGGAACCCCAGAATCCCCATGGTGCCGTTTTTTTGTTTTCACAAGTAACTTGGTTGGGGTTTTAAACTGTCACGCAAAGCATACACTTTATTTTCACACCATATATGCTCTGATTTAAACATGGGAAAGGGGTGGATTTTTTTTTTTAACATCATCAGTTGAATATTTCTCCCTACTATCTGAGATTGTTCCATGCCAGGCATGCTGCTGATGGCCATTGGAATTATTTGATTCTCTGCTTATGTGCTCACGTTGTCTAGGTAGTTTCATTCTCTTATGTGGTTCTTTTCTCAGCGTGTGCTTGTGTCTGATGCCATTTGCTGTGACTCACCATTGCAGACCTGAGTTTAGCAAACATCACAGTTCATCATTGGACTTAGACTGAACCCCTTCAATTAATTTGGAAAATTGGCATGTTTTATTAAAACTGCATCCTTTTCTCTTTTGTAAAGAAGATATGTGTTTTTCTTCTAGTTATTTGAAAGTGTGTGGGTGTGGCACTCTGTGAGTGCAGTGCCTGTGGAGGCCTGAATGGAGCAGCAGACCCCCTGGACTTGGAGTTACAGATGGGTTTTAACTGCTATACGGGTGTGAGAATCAAACCAGGGTCCTTTGCAAGAGCAGCCAGTACACCTAGCTGCTGAGCTTTCTCTCCAGTCTTAACTTTTTCTTACTATGAATTAAAAATACTTATATCTGGATATTACAGAAAGAAATTAAAAATTAATTAAAAATTAAATTAAATACCTATCCTGACATCATCCACAGAAGCCAGTTTGCTTTCTTACTGTATCTGTCTTCAGTCTCTCTGTCTGTGTCTGTGTGGGATTTTTATCTTTACAGAGTTGGAATCATGTGAAACATTTCCCTTTTACTTATTTTTATTTTTGTTGTGTTGTTTGGTTTTTTTATGACCCTGGGTCTCACTACGTAGTACTAGGTTTCCTGGAACTCCCTATGTAGACCTTAAACACACACCTTGGACCTTAGCCTCCAAAATACTGGGATTAAAGACATGCATCACCATACCTAGCTCTTTGACATCTTAAAAATATTTTATTGGTAAACATTATTTGGTAAGGCATGATTTTTGAGGTGTATTCTCGTCCCATATGAGCATTAAAGATACTAAGGGAAGTTTAGCCTTAAGCTGCATATAAGGCAGTCCTATAGACAAAATGTTCAGGTAAATGGGCCTCCTAAGTACTGCCCTTTCCTAACACATTGCTAGGCATGGCTTGTTTCTAACTATGAGTTTCAGATGAACAGTTAATGGAGTGTTCTCTGTAATCAGAAATCAGTACATCTCCACATCCAGCTGGCTTTATTTTCTCCAATTCCTGGCCCTCCTTTAGTGCTGTGGCTCTGCCTGCCTGCTTCTCTAAAAATCCCTGGGAATTGATGATTGATGGGATTTTCAAGCTAAGTGAACAGCTTCCTTCCTGCCTCCATTATCTTAACCCATTAGTTCTCTGCTGCAACAGATGGGGACTGACCATCACAGAACCGCAGGGTCACACTGCTCAGCACCACATCAGTGGCATGCCTTGTGTCAACTTCTACATGCCCATTCAGCCTCCTCTGAGTCTCCCTGCAACTGCCTGCTGGCACCCCTCTGTTCCCTGGTTTTTCACCTGATCAGCCCCTGCTGATTCTCCTTTTGTCACCCTTAATCAGAGTCCTGTCGCCATCAATCCTGTGTCTATCTCTGTGTGGTCACCTGCTTTGTCTTGGCTTCTTTTCTCAAAGCCATGTTCCAAAGATGGCATTCTCTTCTGTACCATGGAATGTGCTGCGTCCTACCCAGTGTCCCACTGGGGACACTCCATGCTGTGCTGGGTGACTGTCTCCTGTAGAAAGTGACATGTCAGTCACCTAGGTAGGCTGTCTATATCATCAATGACCCCATAGATTTAGATCTGTTTCTGTTTTGGAAATATACTGAACCCAAATACAGGTCAGACATTTTCTACCACTGAAGTGTGGTAATTCCACTGCTAGCTCCTGAGAGAGTGATGAAGACATCTTCACATACCTCCATGATCTAGACCACAGCTCACAAACAGCGGAGACAAATAAGTTACTGTTATGCTGCAGTTAGGGGACAGAGGGGAGGAGCAGACCCTCTGGTTGGGGAAAGCAGCCCACAAAAGTTCCAAAGGCAGGCATGAGTACGTGTCTTCATTTCTGCCCTTGCCATGTCCCCAGTGTGTGCTTACCTGTTTCCCTTCAGAGAGAGAAACTCAAGCTGAACCCTAGCAGGAACCAGCAAGTGTATGTAAGAAAAGTCAGAACGAGAAGAGAAGAGTGGGAGAGGAGGAAAATGGGCATTGAATTCATGAGTGATGCAAAGAGGCTGGATCAGGCAGGGAGCGCCAAGGAAGACACAAGGCCCAGAGGGTGCGTCACTCTGCTTTCTTGGATCCCCAGCCCCAGACCAAGCCCTGCTTTAGCATCGCGGGAGGATGTGCAGCCCCTGATGACTGCCTGTAAAATGGGTGCCTCTTACTAACACAGTTTGCCGCTGCTACATAACACTAGCCATTACCCTCCTCCCAGGCTCTGCAGGATACCAGCCATCACCTCCTTTCCAAACTGCTCACTAACACAAGGTCTCCATCCCCTCTAGAGCTCTGTTGTGCAGCTGTGCTTACGGCCCAGGAAGCCAGGTTGTGCTGATTTTCCTTCTTTGGGTTCAATGCATTTCTGCCATTTATAAAAATGCAGCTCACTGTGCATTCTGGATCCCTCTTTGTCTCCTTGCTGTTAACATGTATCCAGTTCACCTGCTGTTTCATACTGCCAAATCATATGTTGTGGTATTTTATTGCGTCAGAAATTCTCACTCAATCTGAGATATTGTTTCTAAATGAATGGAGTTTGTCATATATCATTGTCTTCATAAAGAAATCCGTGAAGTGCTGTGGCGGTGTGTCTCTGCTGGTTCCCACTTACTGGTCTGACTTATCAAAGCTTCTGATCTGAATCCATGTAACACTGGGGCTTGCTACTAAAATAATTGTGTTGTTGCTTAGAAGCTCTCAGGGGGCTGGACTTAGCTGTATGTAAAAGAAATAAATGTCTTTCCTCATGTATTGACAATGTTGTTATTTGTCGATATGCAGCTATGTCTTGAAGGACATTTTTAAAACTTCAATTCCTCTCACCCCCTTTCCTCCAAACTCAGGTCTCACACATCCGATGTTACCGATTATTCTTATCCTGCTACTCCCAACCACGCTTTGCAAGCACAGCCAGTGACACCTTCCTACACAGCTGGTGATGCACCACTGCATGGAACCACAAACCAAGGCGCTGAGCATGAGTACCGACCGTCATCTGCCTCGGCAAGGCACATGGCCCTGAACAGACCTCAGCAGCCACCGCCCCCGCCTCCTCCCCAGGCTCCAGAGGGGTCCCAGGCCTCTACGTCAGTGGCTCCAGCCGACTATGGGTAAACTGCTATTCCTTTCATGTTTGCTTTTGTTGGTGAATTGGTGTCTTGGAAGACAGTTAATGCATAGAGTATAGTCAAGAATGATTGGGCACAGTGTCAGTGTTGACAGAGGTTGTCAAATGAAATGGGTGCAGAATCCAACCACTGACAATTTCCTTTTGTAGTCACATCTCTGGTGGACAGTGTGCCTGTGTCTGTCCCCTGCTCACATACGGACTCTAAGCCAAGGCACCCATAAAGGGTAAAATACTTATTCGAGAACTTGTCTACACCCTCGAGCTTCTCACAGAGTGCTGGTCATAGACCAGAAAACGTAATTCACTCCTCTCCATTCACAATGTAATCCCTTCTCGACCTCCTGGCTCCTGGAACGTTTGGCCCAGTGCCTCTTGTTCTCTGATCTGTGAATTGAGTGCCTCCGTTGTGTCCAGCCCCTTCCAGATCACAGGTTAATTCATTTGAGACCCTCCCTGTTACATTGGAAGGTTGTCTTTAGCTCTCTTAGTCTTTAAAACGCTCCTTAGTGTCTATACCCAGGAAAGTTGAATACAGCAACATGTCTTTTCCATACAAGGGAAATCCTTGCTTTCTGATTGTGCCTGCAGCCTGAAAGAGGAGACCACGTGTCCTAGGTGTCTCCTGTCCTTTGGCCTTGGCTAAGCTTGGATTCCTAGGTTATGTTTTGAGGCTGCTGCATCAGGCACACAGAGGGTCTGTGGCTTGGAAAACTGTTAACCTATCTCTTGGAGTGTTTGGCACACCACTGGGCACCTTAACCCTGGAGATCCCCATTCAAACAGGGCCAGAGAAGGGAGCATCACTGCAGCCTCTGTCTCCTTTGCCTCAGAACCCTCATGAGAGAAGGTTCTGCGTGGCACAGTTCTAAGAGGCCTGGAATGGAAAGGACACCAACCTTCTGCTGCCATCTATGGACCTTAGCCATCCACAGAATTCATCATGCGTTTCAAAAAATGGTCATTTTAGGTATATTCAGTGGGTTTTTAATTATCATGATAGAAAATGTACAACTGGGAGAAACTAACCCTTAGAGTGGACACACACACCCTGCGGTGATGCTGGTCCAGCTGGCAGCACCGTGCTCTGTGTCTGAGCTATGTCTCTATATGCTCTATCAGAACTAGGGAGACATGACCCTCCCTGGTTATGTGGGTGACTGTGTTTTATTTATTCCTTAGGATGCTTCCAGCACAGATAATTGAATACTACAATCCCTCAGGACCACCACCACCTCCCCCTCCACCCATGATTCCTTCAGCACAAACTGCCTTTGTCAGCCCTCTCCAGATCCCTGCGCAGCCCCCGTTCCCTGCCTCAGCCGGCTCCACATACCCCACTCCTCCTCACCAGCCCTCCACTGGGCTCCTGGCCACAGCACCACCACCCCCAGGCCCCCCACCTCCTCCACCTGGTCCTCCTGGCCCCTCTTCCCTGTCATCCTCCCCAATGCATGGTCCCCCTGTGGCTGAGGCAAAGCGCTCAGAGCCTGCACAGCCACCTATAAGTGATGCAAGAAGCGACCTCCTGGCTGCCATCCGGATGGGTAAGTGTGCACGCAGGTTCACAATCTGCATTCTGGAAGAGACTGATTTGTGGCTCAGCCAGCTACACCACCTTCAAAAGATAATGGTACATTCTGTCATTTGTTACTTTCTTATTAAGTTGGAATTCTTCTTCAGGTAGCATAGAAACACATTATAATACAAAGCTTCAGGAAAGCTTTACTTGACAAGAAGCCAGAAGCTAGACATCAAATGATAGATTAATTAATAGGATCCTTCTCCACTTTGGACCTCAAGAATGAAATGGAAGTGAGTGAGTGCCCAGCAATGGTTTTGTTTTCAATAAAGCTAAGATTACACTGGACTTGTCACAGACACAGCTTGGTGTGCCAAGCCTTGTGGCTTCTGGAATTTATTCAGTAGCTCACAGATTGTGCCAGGCAAAACTCTTGCCTTACTACTGAGCCCTAACACAGGAGAGGTAGCATGAGCATCTTGTAGACCTTGACCCTGTTGACTGCCCCAGAGCCTCCCAAGGAGACCTGTGTGTTGTACTATTCACCCTTAACCTGTAAAGCCCAGGTAGCCCCAAGCAGCAGCAACAGGCTACAGAATATCCCAAGAGCTCCTCACACCCTAAGAAACTCTACAGCCTCTTGGTCATAGTTTGCCTGTCTTAGATAGAAGTAACAAGGAAAGTTGCTGGTCTGTAATCCTGGAAACTGCACTCTGGTAATATCCTTGACAGAGTTATGGTGCAGCTGCCTCTGCCTGTGTCTGAGCTCATTGAATCAAGCCAGTGCATAAACACACACATGCATAGGTGCACCTGCGCGTGCACGCGCACACACACACGTGCTGTGTATGCATACATACAGGTTACATAGACACACACACCTACCTGCTGCTAAAGACCCTGGAATCCTCAAGTATCATTGAAATACTTCAGTTTGTCAAGAGATGCAGTCTGAAAGCCAGACTACCTTAAGGGAGGTCAGCTCTCCAATTTTAGGATGCGAGTCTTAGACATGGTTTTGTACACTTTAGGCCAATCCAGTGAGTGCATAACCAGAGACTACCATGCTCCAGTAGACCATACCTCATTTCTACAGGAACACAGCTTGTAAATGTGGAGCTCAAAGAACTCTCCAGATTAGAGCTTAACAGAAATGGGGACAGATGAGGCAGGAGGTGTTTGGAGCCAGGAAAAATGTCCCCAGTAGTTTGGCTTAGTGGCACCATTTGAATAAAATTTATAGGGAAAATAGAAACAATGTTTATCTACGATAACTTCTGGTTCTGGTTTTGATGTTTTCTTCAGGAAAGAACACATTTAGTAGCTGTGTATTTTAGTAGTATAGGCCCATTATGTCTTGAGTAACTCCTGAACTATCCAGAGAAAAGTGTGTTCATGTTTTTGTGAGAGTATGTGCTTATGTGTCTGTGTTTGTGTGTGCGCGTGCGCGTTTATGCGCATGAGTGTGTGCATGTGTGTGTGAGTCTGTGTGTGTGTGTGAGAATGCATATGTGTGTGTGTCCCCGTGGATGTGCATGTGTGTGACAGATTGAGAAAGCTTGTTCCAACATTGTAAGGGCAAGTAATATGGGAATATCTTTCTCCTGGTTTTGTACCTAGCCCATAAATCTGAAATTCTGTCAAAGGGCAATGCTAAGTGCTTCATGTTAAACCACCATTGTGTTACCAAGCAGTTGCACAGACTGTAGTATTTTGTGTCCATTTCCAGCAATAGCCTGAGTTTACATGTTTTCTCTCCTCTCAGATGTTCAGGGTCTTGTCTGTAAACTCAGGATAAACAGGGTGACCTGTTTGCTTTCCTTTCCTGGGAGCTGGCCAAGAGACTGATTCTCTTCCCTGCCTTGTGTTTTCAGGAATCCAACTGAAAAAGGTGCAAGAGCAACGTGAGCAGGAAGCCAAGCGGGAGCCTGTTGGAAACGACGTGGCCACTATCTTGTCTAGACGCATTGCTGTGGAGTACAGTGACTCAGATGATGACTCTGAGTTTGATGAGAACGATTGGTCCGACTGAGTTGCAAGGGCCAGGCAGCCATTCGACAGCCAGAGCACCATATGCAAGTGTATTAGGAGCTCCAGTGATCTCTGCACCCTCACAGTGGTATTACCCTGTAGCTTTAGTACCTTTTGTATTAACAGTGTGATTTTGCTTCTGCACATCCTTCTGGATTTGTTGAGTATTTACTGTGTAATACTTAAGTGCCACTAAACACAGCACACTGTGCTGCACACCAGGAAATTCGCAGTAACTAGTGCATCATCCTGAAATAGCATCTTGCTTCCCTCTTGGCTGTGAGAGTCTCCTCTCCTGTCCATCCTGATTTGGTGGGCTTGCCACGTGTCTGTGCAGCTGCCCCATGTCAGCTCTTTGCAAGATCAATGGCTATGTGTCTTAGTGATGTCTTCCAACCCATGGGTGATACGCTTTCCTGTTTCTTTTCTTTGCAAATCAAATTCCAGATGGACATGTTTGTAGAGGGAATGAGATGGTTTAACAGATCTGAATGAGATGTATCTGTTTGCACACTTGGCCTGGTAGCCTCCAAGGAAATGTGTATGCTCATTTGCTTTCCTTATCTTGGCACTTACAACAGAGAGCACCCATTTTTATGAGGGGAACCCTGTGGGTACTCATGTAGAGAGTGCCCACTGACTTTTGCAGACGGAGTTCACTTTTGTGGCTAGCCCTGATAGCATGGGCACCAGTTAGCCAGGCCATGTACAAGCTGCAAAACTTGCATGGTAGAGCTGCTACATCTGGTTCCCTCCTACTCCACCCAGTGGGAAAGGGACCTACATATTTTATTTCCTGGGATCCCTGCTCCTCTGTTCACTAGGGAGTGAACATAGTTCAGCACCTCACTCCCCTTGCTCTGAATCATGGAAGCTTGAGTTTAGCTGAGAGATGCCACCAGCTATTCACGACCCATGGTGCTGTGGCTGGATTCACTCTCAGTCTCTCAAACAGGGCCACACCCCTCCTGAAGCACAGTTCTCTTCTTTTGTGTTGTTGGCACATTTTAAAATTTAAAGAGTACCTCACAAGATAAACTTGATTCAGCCAGTTGCCCTGGCAGAGACTCTGACTTCCCCTCTGCTGCCCTGACCCTTTTACCAGATGGAGATTCCACAGTCCTGGCTGAGGCAGGAGCTCAAAGTCCAGTGTCTTCTTTGTAATTCTGGAAGAACAGCTGCTTATTTGAATAAGTCATTGTGGTGTCCCCAGGTTTGGGTTATAGGTAGGACCTTGCAGAGGGGCCAGGACACTGCCTTCTCTTAGGTGCATATTTAAATGGCCTGCAGCTCTTAATATCTCTCACTTTTTCTGAAAAGAAAAGTTTAGATCTGGGGTGACATTGTTTCAGTTGATAGGGAATGTCTGTGGGATAGTTAAAAGTGGTTTTTGCTCATGAGTTTGGGGATATCACTCAGCTGCCCCACATCGCCTGCTGTGTGTGTGGACACCTGTCCTCTTGGGCAGCTGTCCTGTAACACCTGCCAGTAGTAGGTTTTACTCATGTCAATCTGACACTGAAAGCCCCATCTGCAAGCCCCTCCCCATGCCCTGCGTTGGCATGTGTCTGAGTGCTCTGTGCTGCCCGATGGTCATCCTAGAGTCTGGTCACACACGGGCATGGCTGTGACTCGCTGTCATATTGGTAATTGCTGAGCTTTTCTGTTTCTCTCATTTCTGTTTTCCAATACTGAGGCCTACCATGCTGACATCATCCTCATGACTTTTACATTTTGAGCCCTTTGTTATCCTTCCAGTAGCTTGTCTGTTATTCCTCCTGTCTCCTGCCTGCCCTGTAGAACCCCAGCAGTCACATTGGCAGCACCTCTCTGTTTGGTAGGGTCCTCATGCTCTCAGGGTGGAGGGAAGACATAAAGCTACCAGACATTGTCAGGATTTCTTCTACTGATGTCACATCAGAATGAAACTAGTGGCTTCTTACTCACAAATGTCATGAGCTTATCTGTTTTTGCTTGTCCCGTAGTTTTGCCAAGAAGTTAATTTTAGTTTGATTCTATAGCTAGAGAGAAAGCTTTTGCCCATTGCATTCTGTAACCTTCAAAAGAATGGGAAATGACTAAAATTCAATTCAGATTACTTTTGAGATTCTTTTTGGCAAATTTGATTTAGTCTAAAATTTAAATCCAAGTTGCTTCAATACTTTACAGAATGAGAACAAAGTAAAAAAGTTTAGATTTTTTTTCTCATGGTATAGACTCAGCCAGATGGATAGCTGGAGGGGAGTCTGGCTGACTGGATGGATGGATAAGTGGGTAGGTAGTTATGTGGATGGGTGGGTAGATGGATAGATGAATGAGTGGATGGGTGGGTTGGTGGGTGAGTAGGTGAATGGATGATAGGTTGGTTGAGTGAGTGGATGAGTAAATGAATAGGAGAGGGTGGATGGGTGAATATATGGATGAATGGATGGGTGGGTGGATTAGTGATAGATGAATGGGTGAGTGGATGGATAATAGGTTGGTGGGTGGTTAGGTGAATAAGTGAATAGATAGATATGGGTCAGTGGGTGGATTGGGAAGTAGGTGGATGAATGGATGGTAGATAGATGGATTGATTGCAGATGAATGCATGAATGGATGGATGCATACATGCATCCAGGATGGATAGGTGGGTAGAAGATGCCTAAGTCTGAACATCACTGCACTGAGAAGGCAAATGAGTGCACTGTTAGCACCTAACCCTGAGCTTCAGTACTTAGGTTTTATTTACTAAGACACTATTAGAAGATGGATGTTTTCATCCCAGTACATTTTTAACACATCAAATCCTTCATGAGCATAGGATGATGAGGAGTGTGAAAGCTTTGTAATATTTTTAGCAGAAATGTGTGATACATTTGAATCTATTGAAGTCTGGAGGAAGTGAATCAGCCAGAGTAGCAAGGTGGCTTTGTTTGTTTGCTTTATGAAGGAGAGTATCTGTTATCTTACAGTATTATCAATGCAGTTGTAAATTGAATCTAAAATGGTATTAAAAACTGTCAAATAATTTTTAATCTGTTTGTATATCTTACTATAGATCACAAGCAACATCTAAATAAAATTACACATGTAACCCTACATGGTTCTGCTTATTTATAACTGTTGTGCCTGGAAACATTTATGAACCCCAAACGACAATCAAAGGAGCCTACTCCAATGTAATTACATTATGGTCTTTTTATTATAAATTCAAGTTTGGGCCTACTCACTGTTAACCCATAAGACAGTTTGTTGCAGCAGTCTGCATCCTTATTGGGACAGGGTTTTATAGGAAAATGGAAGAAAGTGAGAGGGTGTCCAGCCTGGCAAGCATCTAATAGAATGACTGTTGTAAGCTAACGAATGAAAGCCCAGAATCAGCAAATTCACTAAAGGTAAAATCCACCAACTTCCTTGTTAGAACTCAACATTCTGTTTTGCTCAAGCCTAAAGATAAAATCTCTTCAAAAAAAAAATGCTAGGTCAAAGAGACAACAGGAATGAAACAATACTCATAGACTGCCCAAAGAACAGTGGACTTGGGAGTGGGCAATGTAACCCACTTATTATCCACCCAAAAGCCCCTAATCCCTACACACTCTTGAGTGTGGTTCCTCCTGAGCTCCAGTGGTATATGGTGCTAGAGTTAAAAGATATTTATTCACTTTACCCTTGGCACCAAAGAGCCAAGACCAGAGTAAGAACAGAACCAACATTGTAACCTGACATTTCAATAGTTTGTGAATGACCAGATCTTCAAGATACTGGTACCCTTGATAGATGCAGAGGTAGCATGGTTCAATAGCAATAGCTTCATTCAGAAATATTCTGGGGCTCAGGTGGTTTCAAACATGGACATCATATAGGCAGAGCCACTCCCGGCAAGAACGTCGGTGCAGAAAGCTGAGCTGATAATTCTAACCAAGGTGTTAGAGCTAAAACAAAGCAAAACAAGAAACACAGATAGTTGATAAATGCTTTTGCTACCTCTCATGTCCATGGGACTATTGATAGAGAGAAAAGCCTTCTGATGTCAGGGCAAAAATCAAGTCTCAAAAAAAATTTTTTTTCTCCCTACTGAGGGATCTATGAGAGGCTTAAGAAGCTGGTCATCATTCACTGCTCAGGACACCAGAAAGGGAAAAGACTCACAGTTTCAGAAGACAACACTACAACAGAGAAAGCAACCTGATACATTGCTCTGAAAATCAGACTTGAATTGCCCTGCACTTCCTTGGATCTGGGGCATCCTATACTTCCTGACCACCCTCAATATTTAAAAGATGACATAGCCTGTACTACGAATTTGCTCATGTGCCAGTGTTTTGCTGGAATGTAGAGAACAGCGGATTACAAATTCATTGTGTCAGAAAAAAAAAAAAGATTATACATACTTTAGAAAATCCACTGCTCTTCCCATATGGGTGCCTGGAGAATGCAGGTTAGAGATGCCAACTCAGAGATAGCTGAGACTGTCAAGAACAGTAAAGCCTGACAGCTTAAAAAAAAACTAAAAATCAATAAACAAACAAACAAACAAACCCCTGAAAATAGATTCAGAGGCACAAAGCCTAGAGCCTACTGGGAGACAGACTTCAGAGATAAAACAAAAAAATTGAAATATAAATATTTACTGATGTTTAAAAGACAAACGGCCAAAATATGGGCTTCCTCAGATAAAAGGGTCAGACTATGAACCAACTTTTGTGTCCCAGATAAGTCAGACACTAGCCAACATTCTAAGAATTGATCAGAAACATTATATATATATATTTTTTTTTTCTCCCAGAGTTTAGGACAAGTAGAAAAAAAAACCCTAAAAGAGGCCTTAACTAAATTGACCTGAAAGACTGATAATGACTGTTTAGCTCTCCTTCCCTTTGCTTTCTATTAGGTATGAAACTCCCCTTAACTGATGGGACTCACCCCTCTTAAAATTAAGCAAACTTTTATTTTAGGGCTAGCCATGTAAAACAGTGAGAGATACTATCCCTAGACTGATGAGCTTGGGCTATATAGAAATGTAGCTGACCCTGTTTATGCTTCTGGAGGGTGGTGCTCCTCCAGCCACAGGCCAGCAGCTCCTTTCACAAACACACACACACACACACACACACACACACACACACACAAGCTTATTTTTAACATGCCATCTAGCTCAATGGTTGGGCAGTTCTAAACCTCAGACTGCTACCGCAGGTTCAATTGGTGGAGTGGCCAGTGCTCACTCGTTGGCTTTCCTGCAGCTCTAAACCTGATCTGTCTCCCACCACATCATGGCAATTCTCTCTTCCTCTCTCTTGGGTCCTAGCCTAGGAAAACTAGAGGTCTGTTCCCCGCCCCTCTCTTTCTCCCTCTCTCTCTTTCTCTCTCTCTACCTAGTCACTGGCTTTTGCCTTTTTACTGATTGATCAAAAACCAATTGGGGACAAGGAACTTCAGCTTTTGCATAGGAAATCCAAAACACTCCTCTGGCTTCCATGTTCACTGCACACATGCATTCATAGAAACAGATGTACTCCTACATGTAAAATAAGATGTTTTTCAAAGAACCAAAACATTATCAATTATGTAAAGTTTATGTGCATGGTAATGTGGGACAGGAGGCTATTGTCGTATGAGTACATGTTTGCACTGGGCAGCTCTCCTCCCATACATCCTTCTATCCCCATTGAACTCCTTTGCACGTTTACCTCCCAAGAGAGTTTCATGCTATGCATACCACTATAATTTTTTTATATTTCTATAAAATCAAGG